TTTAATACTTTAATGACTTGTAATAAGTAATATTTTCTATTATTTTAATATTCGGATTTTTAAAAAAAATTGTTTTGGTGCTTTAGTCGTATCCTTCGACCAAATTTGGAATGCAAAATCGTAGCTTCAATTCTTCCTATTATAACCAGTACGATTGGCTTGAATACAGTATTAATAGAGATGCTTTATTTTGTTTTGTTTGTCGTAATTATGGAAATGATTCAAATGAAGAAACATTTACTACTATTGGCTTCAAAAACTGGAAGAAGGCAAGTTTCTTTTTTTTAATTTCTGATAAATTAATTTGATTTAAAATTTTATAACTGCTTAACTATAACGTTTCTAATAAAAAAAAAATTTAAAAACTATTGGTAAATCAGTTTAAACATTGAATGTATTTTAGTTGTCTGGTTCGAGAGGTGTTGGAAATAAGGCGAATAAACTCTGCACATTCAAATTCTGTACAGCATCTCACATGCCTTGCAAAATGGACCGCTCATAAGAAATCTAAAATAACTGGTAGTATTGTAACTCAACTGTCTTCACAGCATAGTAAGCTTGTTGAAATGAATAGACAGTATATGCGTGCTTTAATTGATATAGTATTACTATTAAGCCGTCAAGGAATTGCCTTTCGAGGACACAATGAAACTAGTAGTTCATTAAATCAAGGTAGGCACCAATTATAGTATTTATTTATTTATTCAATTAGGTATGTATTCCTACTTAAATTTAACTTAAGCATTTTAACCGTAGGAAATTTCAAAGAAATATGTAATTTATTAGCAAAATACAATCCAGATTTTGATTCTAAATATTGTGAANATAATCCAGATTTTGATTCTAAATATTGTGAAAAAACAAGCTATTCAAGCCATAGAATTCAGGATGAATTAATTGAAATAAGTTCAAATTATGTTAGAAATATTATCATTAATGAAATTGAAAATGCTGTTTCATGTAGCATTATGTGTGATGAAGCAAGGTACCTATTAAAATTACACATTTAAACTTATGTAAATTAATGATTTTTTTGTATTATTACCAATTGATGGTTTTCAGATGTTTTAAAGAAGAACAAATGTCTTTGTGTGTTAGATATTGTAAAGACCTTAATGTAACTGAACGATTCTTAGGGTTTATTGACTGTTCTCAAAATCAAAATGCTGAAACATTGACCCAATCCATATTTGAATATTTGAAAATTTGGGGACTAAATTCATTTATACCAATAGTAGCACAGTCTTACGACGGTGCAAATGTTATGTCTGGTCGATTTAATGGTGTACAAGCTAGAGTTAAAGAGAAGTATCCATATGCTATATATACCCACTGTATGGCCCATAGATTAAATTTGGTGGTGATTGATATGTGCAAACTTATTAAAGTAAGTATTTAAAATAAAAAATTGTATTTTCTTTCAACATATATTTTTATAATTTAGGAAACAAGAAGTGTTTTTAATACTCTTAAAGCGCTGTATACTCATTTTTCAAAACCTTCTATTAACAAAAAATATAATGATATACAAGTAAAATTAGGTATAAATAAATTGTCAATTACTAAAATCAGTGATATGCGATGGAATTGTCGTTACAAAAACTGTGAAGCTGTTAAAACGAATTATAAAGCAATAATCATTGCACTTGAAGAAGAAATTGAAAATGATGGTGATAAAGACGTGAATGAGGCAATAGGTAGATGTTTAAGATTTTATTAGTATTTTTTTTTTATTTTTATATTAATTAATTTTTTCAGGAATACTGCATGTATTGAAAATCAAAAATTTATCGTTCATTTATTTATATTGCATAAAGTATTAATTATTATTAATGTTTTAATGTGCAAATTACAAGAAAAGACTGCAACGCTTGGAAAAGCAGCCAATATTATTAAAAGTGTCATAAAATCATTTGAAAGTTTGAGAACTTCACCATGTTTTACTGAAATTTGGAATGAAATATTACTATTTATGAATGAACATAATTTAGATATTGAAATTTCATCTCAAGGTAGATAATATAAAGAGATGATATAAACAGATAATGTTTATTTAATTTCTATATTTATTTATTTTTATTGTCATAATTTAGATTCAAAAAGAAAAAGATTGCAACCCAATTCTTTGAAAAATTTTGTTGTCTCTACTCCTACTAGTGATCAATATAAATCCAATGAAAATATAAAAAAAATTAGTGTCGAAGATCATTTTAGAACTTCAGCTTTTTTCCAATTATAGATGCTATAGTTGAAAATTTAAAGAAAAGGTTTTCGCAAGAAAGTTTAACTATGGCTTTATCAGTTAATTTTTTTCTTAATTTAAATTTCAAGGAAAGTTATCATTTTATTGATCATTATCATGTAAGTTACTCTTATTAGTTTAAATATCTAATACTTTGTCTGTTTATAGTTAATTATTACCTATTTAATACTCCCATTTAGTCTTCAATGGATGTATCTAAAGAATGTCTTAATTGTGAGATGACAGTTGCTAAAAATGTTATTTTACAATCCATTGGTCCTGATGCGGATATGAATGTCGAGAATATTATACCTATATTATTTGAAAACAAATCAACGTTCCCGAATTTGTACAAATTATTTAATGTAGCCTTAACTTTACCTATAAGTTCAGCTACATGCGAAAGAAGCTTTTCAGCTATGAAAAAAATTAAAACTTGGCTTAGAAATTCAATGACGCAAGATAAATTTACAAATGTATCAATTTTATATATTGAAAAAGATATTTCTAAAAACATTAATGTGGAGGAAATTTTAAATTTATTCGCGAATGAAAATAGATATTTATTATTGAAGTAGTATTTAATATATAATTTTTAATTGTATAATATGTTAATTATTTACTTTTTATTCATTATTATTATGTTATTTAATTGGGATGCGGGGGCGAAGCCCCTGCGGGTCACTTTGTGTAAAAAATGTTAGCCCCCCTCAAAATATAACTAAATGTCCGCCTATGATGTAAATTTTTTGAGAAACTTCTTCTTTTGCAAACCTTTCACATAAAATCGTAAAAANACTTCTTTTTTTGCAAACCTTTTACATAAAAACGTAAACATCGATTGGCGAGAGCATTCAATATCGTCTGTAACTTTGTATAATCAATTTCACCGTCAGTATGATGTAATTTGTGTTTATTTCGATGTAACCACTTATTGACTCTAGCTGACTTAGTCGTCATGTAGAAATTATCAGGTGGTTTAAACATATAATGATTTAAACTATCAAACGTGTATACTGATAATTCTTTTACAATTAATTTACATTTGTAGTCTACGATGCATTGAAAATCGACTACTATTGATTGATCCATTTTTTATGATTGTTGAAACTATACTAAATCGTTTTTATGTATCCAACTGTTTTTTGTTATACCACACCATTTAACTAGACAGTGATCATTTTTGTATCGTAAAATTTTTTCAATGAGAAATGTGTGGAAATTTTGTTTTTTTTATCTCTTCCCGATAGAACGTTCCGTTAATTAATACACCATTCTCATCTTTCAACACGTATACTACGGGTATTGTTTCTTTTATTTTATCTATGAAAAAATATTTCATTCGACCAATTCTGAGTATATCCTTTGACAAAAGCGGCTTTATTTTTGCTTATACGAACCGCGTCGCCAATATTGTATATTTTTCGCGTAATATTCGAGTAATTCGGTAAACGATAAAATCGTACGGTATTGGGATTTTTCAATGCTTCTGTTGGTGTTTGACGGATCNAACCGTACGGTATTGGGATTTTTCGATGCTTGTGTTGGTGTTTGACGGATCGCCGAATGAATAGTATTGTTATAATCATTTGTTATTGTTTGTAAAATTGACAACCATTGGTAAGATCTTGAAGCGGTAAATTTTTTCCACATGCGTTCTTTAAGCGTACGGTTAAAACGTTCGATTACGCATGCCTTCATCGCCGAATATGTAGGAAAATGTTTAATACTTCTCTGTTGTAGAAAAGTTTTCAGATCTTTGTTGAAAAATTCTGATCCCCTGTCTGTTGTTATGTACAGTGGACATCTATTACAGTTGTTTATTATTGATTCAAAAGCTGCTTGCCACGTGTTGTCTTTAGCGTAAGGCGTTACGATACGTCTCGGAAATTTCTTTCTTGCTTGTGCATGTATCTCCACCGCTATTGCTCTTTAACAATTTTCATTTTATTACTCCGTTTTCTCTAAGTTCTTCTTCCAAGGATATTATTTCGTTATATANCTAAGTTCTTCTTCCAATGATATTATTTCGTTATACACTCCCGTATTACCGGCACGCTTAGACGCGTGTAAAATAGCCAGACGCTGTACTAATTCATTTATATCGTCCCAATATATGTATTCTTTTCGTTTATTTGATACAGATAAAAACGGTAGTCCGCCACCAAACTTTTCGTTTTCGCTTGGTTGCCGCCCGTAAAATAACTGTTTTATTATATTTTTATATTTATATCCTTGATTTTTTTTCAATTTTCCGTTAATATTTCTATGTATTCTAGTGTGTATGAGACAGTTTTTATACGTTATCATATCCTAAGAAGTGATTAAATCGACGTTAGGTATCTTTTTAAATAACAATTCGTGTAATCCTTTCGTCAATGGCACTTGTTTTAGACTACCGATCTTGATATTACCCATATGTTCATCAATAATTACCATTTTATCACCCATTTTAAAGTCTCCGTCATCATTAACGGTTACACCGTACACCGCATCAAAGTTTGATTGTTGTTGATGTTGTTGTAACGGTTTAGATAACCCGATCGTTTTATTTTTATCAATTTTATCGTATTCCTCGCCATCATTTTCTTCTGCATCGTTTGATTTACGGTTTTTAAATAAGTTTTTTGTTTGTCTTGCAATTTCTTCCAGAGGTTTAACGATAGGTGTCGCATGCTTGCAAACAAACTCTCTAGTTTCTTCAACATCNATGCTTGCGAACAAACTCTCTAGTTTCCTCAACACCACGTTTGAGTTCCAGTAATTTTTTCCTAATACTTTTTTTAGCTTTTATAATACTTGATGTTATATTCTCCTCCGACTCCATTTTGTATTAATAATCAAGTATNTCTCCTCCGATTCCATTTTGTATTAATAATCAAGTGTCTAAAAATCAGCTCTTTTTATATAAATATCGAAACTTTTGCGATACCTTCCCTCGTTTAAAGGAAAATCTTTCGCTATCAACAAAAATTCAAATCTACCAGAGTTCCAGCATTTAGCACATATTTCTTTAAATTCTATAAAACTCATATCTGACGAACAATGATCATACTATATGTGTTTTAAATTAGTTCCNCATCATATATGTGTTTTAAATTAGTTTCGTCTTGTTTGTATAAAATAATCATATTCGTGTTGTCTCTGATGAGTTGTTTTGGTATACGAGAATACGTCTGCGATAAGTAAAATATATCGATACCGTTGTGTCTACCTCTACAAAAATACGATGCTATGTTGTTTTGTTTTTCACATACGACGTCGTCAAATATAAATATAGAATTAGATGTTACCTTTTCCGGTGCTAATACTTGATCTTTATCGGTGTAAACGTATATGTTTACTCCTTCTACGTCGTTGATAATATTCTCTAAGATTTTATATTTACGTTGATCCGGAGTTTTTGTATAGAGGTATATGTTTTCAAATTTTAAACCGTTTTCTTCTGTCAGTAAATTAAACATTACGTTTGTTTTACCGCAATTAGACGGTCCACAAATTATACAACGTATACTATCGGGTAGCAAAGGACCGTGTTTCATTCGTTTTGACACAGATTTATCCAAATCGACGTTAGAAACTGGTAACTTACATGTTTGCGCTTCGAAAAACATTACGTATAAAAGATTGATGTAACAATTACACCGTTTTAAACGATGATTCGACGTCGACGATCTAACATTAATAAACGCGGAAACGGTTTAGTTAATTCTCTTATAAATAATCTTCCCGTCGAAGTTCATTGGCCATCGTATCAATATCTAGGAACCGGCACGCGGTTACAAAAGCGATTGGCTCGTGGTGACCCTGGTAAAAATTCGCTGGATGCAGCAGCACGAGAACACGATATATCATATAGTAAATATAAAGACATTAAGAATCGTCATAAAGCCGATTACGTTTTACAAAATCGAGCTTGGGAACGTGTTAAAGCAAAAGATAGTACGTTCGGAGAAAAAGTAGCGGCTTACGCAACTACCAATATCATGAAAGCGAAACGCAAACTCGGGATGGGAATAAATTTTAACTCGATCGTTAGTTCGAGTCGAAAGGCGATGCGAAAAATGAAAGGTAAAAGTGCGAAGAAAGCAAGTATAATTGCACTCGCAGCGGCTAAAAAAACATTTAAAAACTCTGTTCGAAAACCTAGTGCTCCTCGTACTATAAAAATACCGAAATTTGGTGGAGTGCTTCCCTTGATTCCTATTTTCGCAGGTCTTTCTGCTCTAGGCTCGTTGGCAGGTGGTACCGCTAATATAATCAAAGCGGTGAATGAAGTAAGAAAAAATAAGGATTCAAAAAGTCCAGTTAAAATCGGTGGAGGTATGCTCGCAAAAAGAGGATCAGCATTATATTTGAAACCATTTCAAAAAAACTAAATCATATGCTACCCAGTGATCGCCCGCTAAACAGCGATGATATTATAAAATATGCAAGACTATTAAAACTGTCTCATTTTCGTAATATTTTTTCACGAGATAAGTTACCTAAAACACCACAAATGATTGAATGTGCTGTCGTGAATTTGGATGATGATACGGCGAAGGCACGCACTGAGTAACATATTATAAAAAAAATAAAACCGTTTTTTATTTCGATTCGTTTGGCAACTTACCACCGCCTTTAGAATTACGCTCCTATTTAAAAGGATGTAGTATAAAATTTAATTACACTCGTGTTCAAGAATTCAATACGTTCGTGTGTGGACAATTGTGTTTGAAATTTTTACTGGAACGATGCAACGCTCTTTAACGTTATCTTTTCAAGGTCACCAGTCTAGAATAATCAGTACCTTTTACCAACCTATTGAATTAGATGGAACGACAGAATTAGCTCTTTTAAGTTTACAAGCTTGCAACTCTAAACCAAATGTTAGTGAAAAAAATAATTCTTTTCGTGTTTAAACCTATAACGATTACCTTGAAGTTCAACGTCTGTTAATGATTCCGTTATTGATTTATCAATACCAATAGGATCGTACGAGTTAGATGATATAGGTATCTCTCGGATGAATTGAAAAAACATAATATTATTTTCAACTTGAAATCCAATGTGAATACATTGAAATCGGAAATGTTTTGCGTTNAATCCAATGTGAATACATTGAAATCCGAAATGTTTTGCGATAAAACAGTAGATTTCACAGCAAACAATAGCATAGGAGAGTTGTTGGGATTCAATAAAAAAACGTTTGAAGGCGGTGTCATACATGAATCAGAACAAATGGCTAATATTAATCCACTATCGTGTATAAGAATAGAGTGTGATATTGTACATGGAGCATTTGTTAACGGACGCGAGACGTGTTCTATTCACGAGTTTTATCCCTTGGTGTCACCCGGTTATAAGATTGTAGAATCACCTAATAATATTATATATTATTCCGTGTTGACCAATCAAATAGATAACGTAAAAATTTAAATTAAAGATCAGAACAGAGAGCTTGTCGATTTCAGAGAAGAAAGTGTAACGGTTCGTATNCGATTTCAGAGGAGAAAGTGTAACGGTTCGTGTTCATATTCGATATGGGTATACAATATAACGTTAAAAAGAGACGTTTTCATGAAGTTGAGAACAGTTCAATTTCAAAACTTCCAGAGTTAACAAGGGAGAGCTTGACTACACTTTTAAATCTTGGTTATACACTTGAAAATCGCAATGGAAGATATTCTGAACATACACGAAAAACCGTACTTCGAAGAAAGTATAACAAAATTCGAATACCATTCGTATCAACCATTTTCTAGTAACGCACTGTCCANTCAACCATTTTCTAGTAACGCGCTGTCGAATAACGATGAAATACGAATTGCGATACAACATCAAGATTTATATACTCTCCCCAGCGAATCTTTGTTACACATCGAAGGTGAAGTTGAAAGAAATATAGAAACAGGTAATGGAGAAGCTTCTGTAAAATTAATAAACAATGGCATTATGTTCCTATTTGACGAAATTCGTTACGAATTAAACTCTGTTGAAATTGATAAAGTAAGAAATCCTGGTATTACAACATGTATGAAAGGTTATGCGTCTTTTCAAACGGCAAACCTTTACCGATACCAAAATGCCGGATGGAATGAAAGTGGTAAATCTAGAGAAAAATTCGAAGTGTGCATACCTCTCAAAGTAATTATGGGATTTGCGGAAGATCATCGTCAAATAATAATAAATTCCCGACAAGAATTAATACTGCATAGATCCAGCGTGGATATTAACGCATTAAAGTGTGAACNAGCGTGGACATTAACGCATTAAAGTGTGAGCGAGCGAATGGTAAAATAAAAATTTCGAAAATAATGTGGAGAATGCCTCATATAAACGTAGAGGACAGTGTCAGATTGAAACTGTTAAAGACTTTAGATTCTCGTAAACCACTTTACATCGCTTTTAGAAGTTGGGAATTATTTGAACATCCATATTTACCACAAACTACAAAACATTCGTGGGCCGTTAAAACATCAACGCATACGGAAAAACCTAGATATGTGATTATAGGATTTCAAGCTAAACGTAAAAACAAAATAACAGCTGACATTAGTAGATTCGATCACTGTTCTCTAATATCACTCAAAGTATTTTTGAATTCGGAATCATATCCTTACGATAGTTTAAACATTGATTTCGATAATGATAAATATTCAGCATTATATCAAATGTATTCATCGTTTCAAGATAGCTTTTATAATATAGATAACGGTGATCCTATTTTGACTAAAGAAGAATTTAAAGATAACGCTCCTATAGTTGTTATCGATTGTTCTAAACAAAATGAAAAAATTAAGAGCGCTCCCGTTGACGTTCGAATTGAATTCGAAACTAAAATTCCTATACCAAACAATACATCAGCATATTGTCTTATACTACATGATAAGATTTTCGAGTATAACGCTATGACTAGCGAAGTACACAAGGTGATTTAATTTATGAAATAAAAAATTAATATAAGTATAATATTTTTTTAAATTTAAAACAATTACTATTGTACATAATTAGTTATATATGTTTTACATTTAATGATTAAATTTAAATTTATTTACAATATTATACATT